TAATTGGTTTCTCTGTCGTTGGTAGGTTTTCGGATGACTTCCTTAGCCCTGGGGGTGTTGTTATCGGCGAAGACGCCACTGTAGAGGCTATAAGTTTAACTTACTTATACGTTATTTGTTGTGTAAATGTTTTTATATATGTTTTATATGTGTTTTAATAAAGTTTATATTTTTAAAATTAAAAAAAAGAAAAGAAAATATATCTATTCTATCAATTCTCTTTGTTGGGAAGTGGACACATTTACATGAAAGGAAGATGAATTCAATCCAATTCCCCCATCAAAGGAAGATTAAATTGATTTGATTAGATAAAAACAAAACCTGCCTCCATTATTACATTCTCAACCATTTAAGATGACCCTGCCAGTTTAAAGATAAATCACTTAGAAAGAGAGAAAATAAAGAAAAATAGTTTATTTTAGATAAATGGAAAAGGTATCTCCTTTTTCCAACAGAATGGGAAATATAACACAAGAAAAGTGTATCTACTACAGCAGCTTCTACATTTTTATCAGAATCTCAGAACTGAGTTAGATTATATTAAATTATTATTATAACTTCCAAGATCAGTATAATACCTCCATGTAGTTCTCCTCCATCCATGTATGTATTTGTTTTTTTCTCTTTTGCTTGAAGTACATAAAGTGAGGGCCCCCAGGTAAGATGAAGGTCACAAGAAACAATGATTATATCCAATTTGTCAGCAACATTTACAATTCAGAGATGTGTCAGTAGGGTTTCCTAACTCCTAGCAGTGATGATGTTATCTAGTTTGGTAATAAAACATCTGCAAGAAACCACCAAGCCCTAACTCTAATTCTTGGATAGAAGCCCTCATCACCCTCATCCCAAAAGAAGACTCAGATCAACAACAAATTAAAAATTACAGACCAATCTCACTATTAAATGCAGATTATAAAATATTCACATCAATAATTTCAGAAAGATTCAAAAAAGTGATAAATGAGTATATCCACCCTGACCAGAATGGATTTTTACCAAAAAGGCAAATAAAAAACAATATGAGAACTATAATAGATATATTAGAATATTACGAAGCACATTCAGACAAACAAGCTGCATTAGTTTAGTTTAGTTTAGTTTATTTATACTTATATGCCGCCCTTCTCCCAAAGGACTCGGGGCGGCTCACAAAGATAAAACAATAAAACAGTAAAATTATGACTAAAATACTCAATTAAAATCCCCAAAAGATTAGTTAAAACTCCCATCAGATCAGCAAATTTGTTGGAAAAGCCATGTCTTCAGGTCAGCGTGGAAAGAGCGGAGGTCGGGGGCCATCCGGAGCCCAGTGGGTAAACCATTCCAGAGGGTCGGTGCACCCACAGAGAACGCCCTCATCCTGGGCACCATCAGCCGACACTGTCTGGCCGATGGCACCTGAAGGAGGGCAATCCTATGTGAGCTCACTGGGCGGTTGGAGGCAGGCAGAAGGTGATCCTGCAAGTACCCAGGGCCCATGCCATGAAGGGCTTTATAGGTAAGTACCAGCACCTTGAAGCGGATCCGAAGGACCACTGGTAACCAGTGCAGTTCGCGCAGGAGAGGTGTAATACGGGAGTAACAGGAAGCCCCTGTAACAACCTGCGCAGCCGCATTCTGGACCAGTTGGAGCCTCCGGGTGCACCACAAGGGCAGCCCCATGTAGAGGGCATTGCAGTAATCCAAACGAGAGATGACGAGAGCATGGGTGACTGTACGGAGGGCATCCCTGTCTAGGAAAGGACGCAACTGGCGCATCAGGCAAACCTGTGCAAAAGCCCCCCTCCAGCATTAATATTTCTGGATGCCCAAAAAGCCTTTGACAATTTAAATTGGAGATGTTTTTTATTGCAATTAGAAAACATGAAATTTGGAGAGAAATTTATAAAGATGGTAGAAAAAATATATTCAATACAAATGGCAAAAATAATAATAAACGGAGATATTACTGAAAAATTTATTATAGCAAAGGGAGTGAGACAAGGGTGTCCGCTATCTCCCTTATTATTTATACTAACATTAGAAGTATTGTTAATTAAAATTAGAGGCGAAAAAGAGATAAAAGGCTTGAAAATAAAAAAAGAGTATAAAGTTCAAGCTTTTGCAGATGATCTAGTATTTATTTTAGAGCAACTGATACAGACAGGACCCAAATTAATACAACAAATAGAAGAATACAGAAAAGTCGCGGGACTTAAAACTAATAAATTCAAAACAAAGGCAATAACGAAAAATCTCACTAAAAAACAGGAAAATGAACTGGAAGACAAAATGGGCATCCAAATGACCAAAAAAGTAGAATATTTAGGAATTTGGCTAGCAGCTAAATTAAAGAGGATAACTACAACAAACTACTATCACAGATAAAGAAAGATTTGGAAACTTGGAAAAAATTACAATTACCTCTTATACGAAAAATAGCATCAATCAAAATGAACATTTTACCACGAATACTGTTTTTATTCCAAGTAGCACCCATAAAATTAGGAAAAAACTTCTTTAAAGATTTAAACAAATTAATAGCGAATTATATCTGGCAAGGGAAAAAATCAAGAATTAAAATTAAATCATTGCAGGACAGTAGAGAAAGAGGAGGCTTCAGACTCCCAGATTGGGAAATATACTATCAGGCAACAACATTTGTCTGAATTAAAGATTGGATTGAATTAAGGAATAAAAGAATCTTAACACTAGAGGGGCACGACTTACAGATAGGGTGGCATGCCTTCTTATGGGATGGGAAAAATAGACAGCACAGCTACTTCCAGAGACATTTAATTAGAGATGCACTATTGCAAATATGGCAAGGAATAAAAAAGAATCACTACACTAAAATTCCAGAATGGTTATCAACAATGGAGGCATTAATCTACCCAAATGTATTGGATATTGACAAAATTAAAAGATATAAAGATTTACTAAACGGTCAAGGGGAACTGAAAACAAGACAAGAATTAAAAGAACAGGGTACAGACATTGATTGGTGGCCATATAGGCAGATACAATCCAGATATAGGACAGTTTTGGAACAATATGTATTTCAAATAGAAACACATGAATTAGATAAAATTCTTCAAGGCACAGAACAAATTGATAAAAAAAATATATAATTACTTATTAAGATACAAAATGGAGGAGGAGGTAGTCAAAGAAAACATGATAACTTGGACTAAAAATTTCAGATATAACACTGAATTGGATAAATGGGAGAAATTGTGGAATAAAAATTATAAACTGACAATGTCTGTAGCCTATAAAGAAAATATGTATAAAATGTTTTATAGGTGGCATCTTCCACCGGCGAGACTGGCCAAAATGTTCCCCAATACCCCATCAACGTGCTGGAAATGTAAACAACATCAGGGAACATACTACCACATGTGGTGGACGTGCCCCAAAGCAAAACAATATTGGAGTAAAATTAGAATACAGTTAGAAGAGATAGAAAATCTCTTGATTAGAAAAGTTTTGGAGTATGCAGAGATGGGCAAACTTACAAAAAAAATACAAGAAAAGGAGAAAACAGAATATATGGTATGGGAGAAATGGTATGAATAGTTAGAGGAGAGGGATAAAAGGCAAGGAAAGAGTAAATGAGGAAGATATAGGAGTTGAAATGCAGTAACATACGAGTGGAAATGGAACAGACACAGAATGTATGATCAATATTGAGTACACTGTTATCTTTATGTATATAAATCAATATTAGAACTTATATGTATAAATGGCAAATTGAAGTAAGGGAGAAAAATGGATATGTAAGAAATGTTTACTGATGCAAAATTGTTAAAAAGAAGAAAATTGTAAAAAAAAATTGTTTTTTTTTAAAAAAAACTGTTTAATAAAAATATGTTTTAAAAAAAGATTTCAAAGAAAAAAATACTGTATTTTTCAGAGTATAATACCATAGTTTTTCAGGAGGAAAATAGAGGGGAAATTCTGCCTACCAGGTATTCATCTGGCTAGCGTCCTTAGTCTGGTCAGCTTCAGCATATTAGTTCACTGGTTCTGAGTGCCCGTGCGCTGGGTTGGGGATAAAAAACAGCTTCTAAAGCACAGCTGATCTTTGGAGAGAGAAGCAATGAGAAAAGCAGGTGAAGCGCAGAGGATCGCTTTGCTTGCTAGCGCCTCGTTAGGGCTGAAAAAAAGCTTCTAAAGCACAGCTGATCTTCGGAGGGAGCAGCAACGAGAATAACAGGCTCAGCGGGGAAGATCGCTTCACTCACCAGCGCCTCGTTAGGGCTGAAAAAAAGCTTCAAAAAAGCTACATTCGGAGTATAAGATGCACCCAAATTTTCAGCCTCTTTTAGGGGGGGGAAAGTGTGTCTTATATTCCGAAAAATACAGTATGTTTTAACCTCTACTCTTATTTCTATAATCTATCCTAACCAAAACATACATCACAAGTTCTTTTTTTTCATTTTTATACAAGTCTGTAGAAGACTCCCAACCACCAATAAATGTAAATATTCTTTTTTATAATCAAAGAAGTCAATTTATCCATTGAGCAGAATCTGTCAACTTCACCAACCATTCCTCCATAATGGGTAGTACTGAATCTCTCAATCTCTCTGCATATAATAATCTTGCTGCAGAAATCATATATTGAAATAATCTTCCATGGCTTTTTTCTAACTGTTTATCCATTAATCCTAAAAGTAGTTTGACTACCTTCAAATAAAATGTTTTTTAAGGTCAGACATGTTTTCCTGAAAGTAAACCTTCCTTTACAAGTATAGACCATCTCTACATGGTGAGATGCTCTAAAAGTCCTTATTTTTCTGCAACATGAAGGGAAGCGAAGTAGTATGGGAATGAAGGCAGTTCACTTGGTTTAAGATATCTCATAAATATTTGGCACAGCAAGAAAATCTACACTGTTTGCCCAGTGTACAAGTTTTCTATCTTCTCAACTTTCAGCCAGTAAGTAAGTCCTATCTTTCTTCTGAAGAGGAAGAAGCCACTCTTTTTAGAGAAGCATGGGGAGTATAGCTTACCTTGCTGTAATTAGCATTAATGGTCAGCTGATTCGAAGAATTTCTGATAAGATTGCAAGTTGAAGCAACCTGGGTAGCCATGCAAGCTGAATCATTTAGAGTATCTATCAAGTCTTCCATCACATCCATCAGACTGGTGTGCAGCTTCTCAGTGCCCTCCTGTAGCATTTCCAGACACCCACTCACATTCTCCAGTGCCTCTTTTGTCTCTCTAATAGCTACAGTGGTAAAAAAATCAATTTCATTACAATCTGCATAATGTGTTTTAGTTTTACTAAGTGGCACAAATACACAAACACAAACACTTGTTCATAGTTAAACAGCATCTCCGAAGGAGTAAAAATTAACCATAAACTAGTATTAAGAGGTTTGATACCATCGAAGTTTAGTTTGCTTGGCTAAAGCATTTTAGAATATCCTTTATTGCCAGGGCACATAGATATTTCCCTCTGATTTCTCTGGACATATGGCTATATTAACTGAACAAAGTTCATATTAATAAAGAGTTCCTGCTTTTGTTGGACCCACCATCCTGGAAATTAACAGATTAACAGAGTTGGAATGGACCTTGTAGGTTATCTAATCCAACCCCCCTGCCCAAGCAGAACCCTACACCATTTTTGACACATGGCAGTCCTGTCTCTTCTTGAAAGCCTCTAGTGATGAAGCTTCCACAACTTCTGAAAGCAAGCTGTTCCATTGGTTGATTGTTCTCATTGTCAGAAAATTTCTCCTTATTTCCAGGTTGAATCTCTCCTTGTTCAATTTCCATCCATTATTCCTTGTCTGGCCTTCAGGTGCTTTGGAAAATAGCTTGACTTCCTCCTCTCTGTGTCAGCCTCTCAAATATTGGAACACTGATATCATGTCTTCCCTGGTCCTTCTCTTCACTAGACTAGTCATGCCCAGTTCCTGCAACCATTCATCATGTTTTAGCCTCCAGTCCCCTAATCATCTTGGTTGCTCTTCTCTGCACTCTTTCTAGAGTTTTTATAGTGTGGTGACCAAAACTGGATACAGTATCTAGGTGTGGTCTTACTAAGGCCTCCCTTGATCTTGACTGTACCCCTCTGTTAATGCAATTTAGGATTGCATTGGCTTTTTTGGCTGCCGCTGCACACTGCTGACTCATATTTAATTGGTTGTCCACTAAGACTTCAAGATCTCTCTCAAAGTTCAAGGTTCTGGTTACCACCTTTAAAGCGCTCCATGGCTTAGGACCCGGGTACTTGCGGGACCGCCTACTACCACCAATAGCCTCCCACCGGCCGGTACGCTCCCACAGAGAGGGGCTCCTCTGGGTGCCGTCAGCCAAACAATGCCGACTGGCGGCCCCCAGGGGGAGAGCCTTCTCTGTGGGGGCACCTACTATCTGGAACGAGCTCCCCCCAGAGATACGGAGGATCCCGGATCTGCGCACCTTCCGCCGCGCCTTAAAGACCTTACTATTTCACCAGGCCGGCCTGGCCTAATTTTCCCCCTCTTTTATAAAAGATTTTTAAAATTTTAAATATCTTTTAGTATTTTATATATTCAATTTTAAATTGGTTTTAAAAGTTTGGGGTTTTAAATTTGTTGGGGCCAAAATTATTTAATTTGATTTTACTCTATTTTTTAAATTTTGTATTGTATGTGTTTTTATTGTTTGGCTGTGCACCGCCCTGAGTCCTTCGGGAGTAGGGCGGTATAGAAATAAAATGAAATGAAAATGAAAGTTACTGCTATTAAGTCTGGTTTCACCCAGTCTATATGTGTACTTTTGGTTTTTCTTGCCTAAGTGTAGGACTTTACTTTTCTCTACATTGAATTTCATTTTGTTAGATAGGGCCCAGTGTTCTAGTCTGTCAAGATCCATCTGGATCTTGAGCCTATCATCTAGGGTGTTAGCTATTCCTGCCAGTTTAGTATCATCCGCAAATTTGGTAAATTCCCCTTTTATTCCCTCATCTAAGTCATTTATGAAGACATTGAAGAGTACTGGGCCTAGGACAGAACCTTGTGGCCCAGTCCCGAAATGGACTGCCACTTTGCAACTGGAATGTTCCATTTTAAGATCAGACAATGTCTGATATGTCAGATCCCCCTGATCTAAGACTGCAACATTTCCTGGAAGATCACTCCAATCTTGTAGCAGCTGTGCTGCAATTGGAACAGCATCCTTTGCGGTTGGAACATTCCTATTTCAAACTGTTTTGTCTATCTTTAACATTAATTACTATAAAGTTTGAAGTGCTATATCAACTAAAACAGTGCAATGCTTCAGGTTTTATTCTAAAAGAATTATTTGGGGGGTTTGGGATTGTAAACATAGCATCTACCTACAACTCTTTATAGAAGCTGTATCTTTGTAGAGGAAAATGCAAAGGACAGCCACGCAATCCCAGGAAAAGGTAACACTTTGATAGATGCAGATGTCTGTGTTCCCATACACTCCAAAGTACTCTTTTATGACCCAAATTTGAAATGCAATGCACCCTACATTGGGTCAAAAATAAATGAAATAATACAGGTGAAACTTGAAAAATTAGAATATCGTGCAAAAGTTCATTTATTTCAGTAATGCAACTTAAAAGGTGAAACTAATATATGAGATAGACTCATTACACGCAAAGCGAGATAGTTCAAGCCTTGATTTGTCATAATTTTGATGATTATGACTTACAGCTCATGAAAACCCCAAATTCACAATCTCAGAAAATTAGAATATTACATGAAATCAATAAAACAAGGATTGTACATAGAACAATATCGGACCTCTGAAAAGTATAAGCATGCATATGTACTCAGTACTTGGTTTGGGCCCCTTTTGCATCAATTACTGCCACAATGCGGCGTGGCATGGATGCTATCAGCCGGTGGCACTGCTGAGGTGTTATGGAAGACCAGGATGCTTCAACACAGCCTTCAGCTCTTCTGCACTGTTCGGTCTCATGTCTCTCATCTTTCTCTTGGCAATGCCCCATAGATTCTCTATGGGGTTCAGCTCAGGCGAGTTTGCTGGCCAATCAAGCACAGTAATCCCATCGTCATTGAACCAGGTTTTGGTACTTTTGGCAGTGTGGGCAGGTGCCAAGTCCTGCTGGCAAATGAAGTCAGCATCCCCATAAAGTTCATCTGTGGAAGGAAGCATGAAGTGCTCCAAAATCTCCTGGAAGACGGCTGTGTTGACCCTGGACTTAATGAAGCACAGTGGACCAACACCAGCAGATGACATGTCTCCCCAAATCAACACAGACTGTGGAAACTTCACACTGGACTTCAAGCATCTTGCAGTGTGTGCCTCTCCATTCTTCCTCCAGACTCTGGGTCCTTGGTTTCCAATTGAGATGCAAAAGTTGCTCTCATCAGAAAAGAGGACTTTGGACCACTAAGCAACAGACCAGTTCTTTTTTTCTTTAGCCCAAGTAAGACACTTCTGACGTTGTTTGTTGTTCAGGAGCGGCTTGACAAGAGGAATACGACATTTGAAGCCCATGTCCAGGATCCGTCTGTGTGTCGTGGCTCTTGATGCACTGACTCCAGCCTCAGTCCACTCCTTGTGACAGTCCCCAACACTTTTGAATGGCCTTTTCCTGACAATCCTCTCCAGGCTGCGGTCATCCCTGCTGCTTGTGCACCTTTTTCTTCCACACTTTTCCCTTCCACATAACTTTCTATTAATATGCATTGATACAGCGCTTTGGGAACATCCAACTTCTTTTGCAATTACCTTTTGAGGCTTTCCTTTCTTATGGAGGGTGTCAATGATGGTTTTCTGCACAACTGTCAGGTCAGCAGTCTTTCCCATGATTGTGATTCCTACTGAACCAGACTGAGAGACCATTTAAAGGCTCAGGAACCCTTTGCAGGTGTTATGGCTTACTTAGCTGATTAGAGTGGGACACTTTGAGCCTAGAATATTGAACCTTTTCACAATATTCTAATTTTCTGAGATTATGAATTTGGGGTTTTCATGAGCTGTAAACCATAATTTATTTTTTTTTTAATTTGGTTTATATGCTGCCCTTCTCCGGAGACTCAGGGCGGCTTATAATGCTTTAAGCAATAGCCTTCATACTTTTGTATATTTATACAAAGTCAGTTTATTGCCCCCACAAACTGGGTCCTCATTTTACCTACCTTAGAAAGGATGGAAGGTTGAATCAACCTTGAGCCTGGTGAGATTCGAACTTACAGTAATTGCAGACAGCTGGTCTTAATCACAATGCTTTTAGTCTGCTGAGCCACCAGGCTCCTATTTTGCTGAGCCACCAGGCTCCTATCATCATAATCATCTGTCATAATCATCAAAATTATGACAAATCAAGGCTTGAACTATCTCGCTTTGCATGTAATGAGTCTATCTCATATATTAGTTTCACCTTTTAAGTTGCATTACTGAAATAAATGAACTTTTGCACGATATTCTAATTTTTCGAGTTTCACCTGTAGTAGTAATCAAATTACAAATGTTATTTGTCCAATATTCCCTTTCACCAACAAACCCTCTAGTATAAACAAATGGTAGGTGCTTGCTACTAGTGCACATTTTCCATCACTTCTGCATATCTGCTAGCTGGAGGGGCTGGGAACATGTACAAACAAGTACCATAAGCATCAATCCATAGCCTTTTGCTCCCGAGCAGCCCTGCAGGATTTAAGAAGGTTTGCAGGAAGTTAAGTTACAAAAGTTACAAAAAGCAGCCAGAACTAATAGGCAAGCAATGTTATTGGATTCTAATCCAAGGAGCAAAGCAATGAATTGCTGAAGAAAAGAGAAATATGACAAGACAAACTGCACAGAGGGTGGAAACTAGAGGAGGCACTTCATAAAATGCGTAAAATGAGATCATTTTACCTTTAATGGCCCTTTCCACTTTGACTTCAAGACCGAAAAATAAAAGAAAGAATGCAGGACAAAGATTGAAAAATGCAAACAGGTTTGATGGATAACATAAAGTTTCTACTATTAAGAAGGGTAGTCCTTCTAACGAAGCTCTACAACTGTGATGTTTGGCACTTGGTTTGGTTTATGGGAACTACAGCCGAAAGCCCAGAAGCAGTCTAAGCCTAGGGAGTTAAATCTCCCAACAGCTGCAAAGCAGAGAGGTGATGGGACTAAGTGTGGGGAGACCAGCAGATAGAAGTGGAATGCTTAACCCTTGCCTGCATAGTTCCCCCTGCCATCTACCTTTCATTCTACTATTTTTCTCCATGACTGTCACATTCATACCAATTGGATACAGAAGTTTAGACACATCTGATTGAACTCTTAACTTTCAATGAATTCATAAGCGCATAGAAGATGACACCACCTCTGCATAGGGCAAGGCTAAGCACATCTTTCTGAAAATATTAATGCATGCTTACTGATTACATGCAGCTGTCTCAATTCAAAATGAGCAAACAGAGACAAAAAATATGGACACCTTCCCATGCAGAGTTTGGACAGCTTTTGTTCATTTTGTTCATTTAGGCATTAAATTGGACCATACAATTGGAATATACAATTGGACCAGAGTTGCCGAAATTCTGGCATGTAGCTGTGGACTGTCTCTAGAAAAAATGTTGGTGGATACATGGCAGAGGGAATCCTCAAGCACCCCATTGTCCAGCAAATTCTATGCAATTTGTGGTTGTGTACTTATTCATGGCATTGTGAATGTTCAGTCCCCAATCAATCTAAACATATTGGCATCATATCAAAGCTCCTAGCTTTCAACAGAGGTTGGCAACACCATATGGAGAAAGACAGAGGATCTCTGCATCACTTCAGAGCTTTCAAAGGAAATTATAGAGTTATTTTTGCAAAACATATGTGATTGGTTGCATTTGGGGTATTGGGGATACACTGTAGGAGGCATTTCAGCAGTCTGATGATTGCATGTATCTAACTTTTGCAACCGACAGTATCACCATAACTTGACATTGATAAATGCTGTGATTCTTTTACCTCCTGCCATGGTAAGGGCAACATCAAGAGCAGGGTATACCTCCTTTCCCAGCTGTTCCCAGACTCGACTGCCAAGCAATGTCCCAACATCTGTTGGAGAAAGAAATGATGGGAAGAAAATCAACTGCCAATTAACTGAGTATGCAATTTTGCATTTAAACACCCCATGTTAGCTACAATCCAAACAGCATGTAAATTATCAATCCTTACCCATGCGATTATTTTTCTTATATTATAACCAAAATTAACTTCTAGTTTGATTAAAGGACACACAAACTCTGGTCATTGATTTTAAGTAGAGTTAAATAATAAATAGGCAGTTTGTCCGGGAATCTTAACTATTAAGAACACTAGTTATTTAGGATTATTTTTTAAACCTGCAACTTTTCTTCGATATCACCCAAATACTGAACCTTCTCATTACACGTGTTTAAGCTAACAGCCAGTTTGATATAGTGGTTAAGGCATCAGGCTAGAAACCAAGAGGCTATGGGTTCTAGTCCTGTTTAGACACAAAACTAGCTTGGTGATCTTGGCCAGTCACTCTCTCCCTCAGCCCTAGGAAGAAGACAATGGAAAATCTCTTCCGAAACCTAGCCAACAAAACTTCAGATACTAGTCTAGGCAGTTGCCAGGAGTCAATACTAAATTGAAGGCACACAAAAAAGGTCATTCTGGTGCTAAATGCAACACCTGTAGATATCATCCTTTCTTTGGGGAGCCCTGCACAAACACACATCCCAAAAATGCTCCCTCCAAAGCCTCCAGCCTTGCAATCCTGCACAGGGAAGGTGGAGGTTTGCTCCAAAGCTGCAACAGAGTGTTGCACCGGGAGACCTCTGTAGGTAATATTTTTGAAATGTTAACTTTTAACACCGTACCCACAGGAAAATCCCATCATCACGGTTTAATTTTGCTTTCTGTGAAACTTTGTGCCAAGAAAGATTCGTGTTTTCTCCTTCCCTTCTTCCCCCCACCCCTCCTCTGGCTGTCCATCTCAGCTTTCACAGACAACCGTCCGCCAGGGATGGAGGTTCCCCCACACTTCCAACTCCAATGGACCCGGTGAGTGCGAGCATCCCCAACCCAGAAAGGGGAAGGAGTTGATGGGGGCTGTTGGGAGTTTTGGGAGTTAAAATCCACAAGTCTTAAAGTGGCCAAGCGGCTGCCCATGCTGCCGTGGCCTCATGGGGGCTCTTTGCTCTCCTGGCAGTGCTGCTCTTGGTCGCCCTGCTGGGCAGCTCCTGCCTGGCATGGGATGAGTTATTTCAGATCAAAAATCTCTGGACCGCCGCCAGCCTGCCAGGGCCCCTTCACAAGTGGTTGCCAGTGGAGCCGTGCTGCCTGTGCTGCTTTGCCATCGCCTTTGGGCTGCTAAGTGCTGGACTGCATGCCTACTCGGTGCTACGCTGAGCCTGGCACTCTTTGGACCCTGGCAGGCACTGCAGCTCTTTTGCCAGCTATGCATGGGGTAGCTCCAGCGGGTGGTAGTGGAGGCTGCTGGGTAGCAGCCATGGCTTGGTGGTGGGCTGGACCAGGCAGCAGGCGAGGTGGCTGCAGAGCCGCCACAGGTGAGGCAGATACCGAAGGTGAGCAGGGGCAGTCCCACGCTTGCCTCACAGAGCTGGCAAGAGAGCTGCAGCACCCACCAGGGCTGGAAGAGAGCCAGGCTCAACATAGGTGTAAGCCTGGTGCCTGCAGCACCAAGTAGGCATGCAGGCCAGCGCTCAGCAGCCGAAAGGCGGTGGCGAGGCAGCATGGCTCCACTGGCAACCGCTCGTGAAGGGGCCCTGCTACATTGCATGTAGACGTAGACCCATTAAGGACTACTCGTTGAGTACTGTTTGTCAGCCAGTTACAAATCCATCTGGTGGTGATGCTATCTATCCCACTTTTTTCTAGTTTACCAAGAAGTAGATTGTGGTCTACTTTGTCAAATGCCTTGCTGAAATCTATTATGTCCACAGTATTTCGCTGGTCTACTAATTTAGTCACTATGTTGAAGAATGTAATAAGATTGGTTTGGCATGATCTGTTTTTTACAAACCCATGCTGACTGCTAGTTATTACTTTACTCGTTTCTAGAAGTTGGTAGATCTGTCTTTTTATTCTCTTTTCCAGTATCTTCCCTGGTATTGATGTTAGGCTGATTGGTCTGTAGTTTCCTGGGTCTTTTTTAAAGATGGGAACCATATCAGCTCTTTTCCAGTCCTCTGATAGTTCCTGGTGTTCCAGGATTTTTGAAAGATGTGGTACAGGGCAGTGGTGAGATTAAAAAAAAATTACTTCCGGTTCTGTGGGTGTGGCTTGATGGCTGTGGCAGGGGAAGGATACTGCAAAATCCCCATTCCCTCCCTACTCCAGGGGAAGGATACTGTAAAATCCCATTCCTTCCCCACCCCACTAACCTGCTTTCTTGCTGGAAGAAACTTTTTTTGGATTATCTTTGACTTTTGTTGCAAGTCTTTGTTCATTCTGAGCCTTTACTTTCCTGACTTTGTCTTTGCAGATTCGGCTATGTGCCTTAGTTGTGTGTCCCTCTTTCCATTTTTTGTACTTGTCCTTTTTGTCTTTCAATTTGTCAGAGAGATCTTTATGCAGCCATACTGATTTCATCTTGGATTTCTTGTTTTTCTTTTTCAATGTTACTGTGCTGGTCTGGCCCTTTATGATAATATTTTTCAGAGTTTCCCAAGATTCTTGAGTTGTTTTCCCCTTTAGGATTTTCATCCACGGGATCTTTCCCAAGTTCTCTCTGAGTTTGTTAAAATCTACTCTTTTAAAATCTAAGGCTCTAGTATCATTATGTTCTATTACTTGTGTTTGTGTTATGTTGAATTCAAGTATGACATTGTCAGATCTCTAAAAGTGATACTGCCATTCAATTCGGAGAAGGGGGAGACTTGGATTCGATTTACTAGCATTGTCTGTGTCAACAGATAATTTACAACCTATATCCTGGCGCCAAAGAGCCCTGAGATCCCCTTAATATTAAGGAATGGTTATGACAGCCATGTGGGCTATTTCACTTTAAAGAATAAAGGAGAAATGATGTGAATACATACTTATCCGGTTCTCAGGGCAGATGGTAAAGAAAACATCTTCACACTTGTGTATTGGCTAAAATCTGCATTCTGGCTTAAGGGAGGGGTCTCTACTGCTTTAATCCTACTTGTCTTGCCTAAGGGTATTCAGACCTTGCTTTGATTTCCTTGCTGTCATTTCTGCTTAATAACAAGTTTCATTTTGAAATACTACGTTTCAAGAGTTTTTACTTTCTTAAATTGGAAGTAGAGGCAATCATTACAGAAAGCAAAGTCTGCAAAATGGTCAACCCAGAGAAGCAATCTTCGTTGTACTGAGGGGACCTTGTAAACCATGTCTGAACGAAGCAGAGAACTCGGAGAAGCTGAATGCTGGGGGGAGACAGCAACCACCACCCAGTCAGATGCCTGTTTCGTACACCCCATCAGAGAGGATGAGGTAACCCTGGAGAATCCTGAAAAGCCCCGCTGGTCAACTGGCATCGGGAAGAAAGATAGCTGGGATGAGAGAACCAGAGGAGTCACCCTCAACCGTGGCAACCGAAAACCAGGGTGGAAACTGGAACTAGAAGCCCTTGCTGACCAGGGGGAACTAACCAAAGCACCACTGAGGGAGGATTGTCTGAAGAGGCATATAACCCAATTGGTGATGGAAACTTTGGAAAATCTCAACATCCGAGGGGAGCCAAGGCAACAACCAAAGAGCACTGAAAGGGCAGCAGTCGTGGATGATGCCAGGGGAGACACCCCCCTTCTGGTGCCCACCTATCGAGCGCTGGCATAGCAGCAGTGGGAGAAGACCCAGCAAACCCTCCCCCCCCAGCAGCACGCACACCGGCGCCCATCCCCAACCAGCCCCAAGTCCCACAACTGGAAAGAGAAACTCCCTCCCTTGGGGTGAAGTTTGATGGGAATCCAAAGCAATTAGGATTCTTTGTGGCACACATGCTCACCTATATGCAAGAGTACGGGCGTGATTTCCAAACCGAAGGATCCTGAGTGCGAGTTGTGACCCTAGCCCTAGAGGGTGCCGCTGCCAGATGGATGATGACCCTGCATAACGCCAATGCACCAGAACTGCGGGATTTCGACTGTTTCATGATGGCCTTGCGACAATGGTTTGAGGACCCACTAGCACATCGCAAAGCACACAACCGCATTAAGGTGGTGAGGCAGAGGTGACAGCCAGTAGCAGAGTATACTGAAGAATTCCGGGACCTCATGTGTCATGTGAACTGGCCAGAAGATATTTTGGTGAGTTGTTTCAAGGATGGGCTGAGTAATAATCTATACAATGCCTGCGTGGCCCGAGGTGCACCGAATCACCTACATGAGTGTACATCACCGCCAAAGCTGAGATCAATATGGCCAGAAACCAGTACCGAGCGGGGCGAGCATGGAAGAAATCCCCAACCCAATGGAAGCAAGAGCCCCTCAATCCACAAACCGCATTTTCTCCAAAATCCTCAGCCTGTTTCAAGTGTGGAAAAGAAGGGCACCGAGCTGCAGAGTGTAGTTCACAAACACCCGCATGGAACCACCCACCGGGGGGGAAACCTGCAAAACCTGGCCAGCATGGGAAGGAGACTGCCCTGAGGAGCAGAGAGATCATAGAATTTCCATCCCCCCCCCCACTTTGGGGAGGAAACCCAGCAGGAGGAATCACACTCATTTGAAAGTGATCCAGAAGACGAACTACTGGTAAGCAAACCAATTAAACTGCTTACCCTCCCCTTAAGACTATTTATCCCAAACCGGGACAGGGAGATAAATATCTCCGCTCTAACGGATTCAGGATGCACCTGTTGTTTGATCAGCCCAACCCTAGTAGGGAAGTTGGGGATTAATGTAAGAAAGCTGAAAAACCCCATCGCTTTCTGCCAACTAGATGGGTCAATAGCAGGGGGAGAGCCAGCTTCTTCTGCCACCAAGCCTCTACATATAGGCAACAGAAACCATGAGGAAATACTTACATTTATAGTGGCACCTGGCATGGAATGGTCGTTAGTTTTGGGCCTTGCATGGCTGAAAAAATGGAACCCCAAA